AAATTCTCGATCTCTATTTGAACTTCAAACAAATCAATTATACAAATAAAATATCAGAAAATTTTAATAATTTAACCCCATTAGTTTTCTCCCTCTATCGTCAACACTGCCCAAATAAAGATTAAATGATTATTCCCATATGGGACAAACCATAAGAGAGAAAAGGAGTGATAATTATGGATGCTAATCAAGCAAGTCGAGATCAAGCCTGGATTGTTCAAGCTCGGCTCTTTACACTTGCACTTGAATTCGAGATGTTAGGACTTTAATTATTTTTGTTTTTATTATCTTTAGCTTCACACTAATATTGTTCAAAAGTTTACTTTTAATTTATGTTAGACCCATTTTTTCACTTTATTTTCATTTATTTCAAGCCTTAAATGAGTTTTGATAAGGTCTAATAAGTTCAAACAAGTTCATATAGGCTCATATAAATTTAGATAGTAAGAATTAAGTGAATAAAACGCACCCCTAATTAGATCTGCATTATGATAAGTAAAATAAATAGATTAAATATTTATTTTTTTAGTAAATTCATGATCTTCTTAAGTCGAGCTTTGTTGTGCTTAATTAATGTAAGCGAAGGAATAAGTGGACTTGCACATATAATGGAAGATTGGAACCATGTGTCAAGATAAGAATGTGCCTATATAGAGTAATTAGTTGAGTTTGTTAAATTAATAATTTTGAAATTGTATAAATATTTGTTATGAGTATTTTAATGTTCATTCAAGTTAGATTAAGTTCATTTATGTGTGTATAAGGAATTAAGAGTAATCATTTAATTTCATGGGTTCTTGGTTAACTGCTTGCTTATGATCAAACTATTACAAAAAGTATGGATACTATATACTCTCAATACTTGAACGAACTAATTTAATTAGGCTAATTGACATATAAACAATCTAATTCAAATCAATCATACTCCTCCAATTGAAATAATTTATTTTGATAATTGCCAGAAGCTCAGAAAATTAGGGAGAAAAGAAAGTATAATTTGTATTGATTTCTTGAGAGAAAAGATATATTATGATCATTACAAAACATGAGTAGCTTATTACAATATTTATACTAGTTGCATAACAAACTAATACTTAGGTGTAATAACAAACTTAGAGTTTGTTACAAAGGAAGATTCTGAATTAGATTGTTTGAGTCTGAGTATGTAAGCCTAGTCTGAGTCTGAGTATGTAAGCCTAAAGAGTGAGCCGATATGTAGCAAGTAAAAGAATGCCTTGCCCTAAAGTAGAAGCCACATATCTAAGAACATGATGTAATGTCTACTGATGTTGAACTATTTGGTTGTTGCATGAATTGGCTAAGAGTTTGGACATCATAGGATAGATCAGGCCTAGTGTGAGTCAGAAAGTGAAGCTTCCCAACCAACTTTCTGTACAAAGAAGGATCTGAATGAAAATCACCCTAATCAGGAACTAGTTTCAGATTCTGTGGCAAAAGAGTCTTAGCAACCTTTGAAACATCAAGACATGAATCTTCAATCAGTTCCTTTGAGAACTTTTTCTAAGTCAGGATGATACCATGTTCCAAGTGAATGACTTCTATGCCCAAAAAATTAATGCAGCTTGCCAAGATCTTTGATGCTTAAAATAGAATGCAAGTGTTGCTTTAAGAGTAAAATTGCAGCATCATTAGTACCAGTCAAGATGATATCATCAACATATACAGCAATAGTGTTGATATCAGAATGATCTTGATAAATGAACAAAGAGTAACAATTCAAGGATTGAATGAAACCTTGGTTTTGCAATTCAACAGTCAACCTTGCAAACCATTGTCTTGAGGCCTGTTTCAACCCATAAAGTGATTTCTTAAGCTTGCACAAAAGATTGTCAGGATTAGGAATTCCTTCTGACATCTTCATATAAATTTCTTCATATAGATCGCCATGAAAGAAAGGCATTGTTAATGTCTAATTGATGCAAAACCCACCTTTACTGGCTACCAAAGCTAAAAGGCACCTAACTGTAGCCATCTTAACCACAAGTGAAAAAGTTTCATCAAAGTCTATCCCAAATACTTGAGTGTAGCCTTTGGCCACCCATCTAGCTTTCAACCTTTCAGTTGTGACATATGCTTTAAGTTTCACCTTGAATACCCACTTGCAGCCTATGGCTTTCTTGCCTTTAGGAAGAACACAAAGATCCCAAGTACCATTCTTCTCTACGGCCTCGATTTCTCTCTACATAGCATCAATCCACCCTTGATGTTCAGAAGCTTCAATATAGCTAGTTGGTTCAGAATTGGATGTTGTTTTGGTTATGAGAGCTTGAAAAGGAGAAGGTATATCGCTGTAATGAACAAGATTACACCAGTGTTCATTGATAAAAATAGCAGTGATATAGTCTTTATGCCAAAAAGGTGGTTTATGGGTTCTGTTAGACTTCATGACACTTTGAGAATCTGCAGAGAAAGGTTGAGTAGTGTTTGTAGAGATAGGGTTAGAATCTGTAGAGATAGAGGTGAATTAGTGGGGCTAGGATGAACAGGTGAAAAGTTGGGAATAGATAAAGGAACAGAATCAAAAGAGGAATCTGGATCTGTAGAGAAAATGAAAGGTTTTGGAATGATTTAGGTAGGTTCAGGGTTATGTGGTGTGGCAATAGGTAAGAAAATGGGTGGTTATTTTGAGGTTACAAGAAACTTGTAGGGTAGATGTTTTTCATGAAAATACACATCTCTATTGATGATGAACTTCTTAGTCTCCAAACACATCACCTTATAAGCCTTCTGATTTGGTGGATAACCAAGGAAAATACAAGGAACAACTCTTGAATCAAACTTGCTTCTATTAGTTTTCAAGGTTGAAACATAGCATAAGCAACCAAACACTCTAAAGTGATTCAAATTAGGCTTTATACCAAATATCTTCTCATAAAGAGTATAGAAATTAACAGAACTCAGGGGCATTCTGTTAATCAAGTGAGTTGCACATAACAAACACTCTCCTTAAAGAGAAACAAGAACATTTGATTGTCAATATAGAGCTCTTGCTGTCTCCAAGAGATGTTTGTGCTTCCTTTCAACCCACCATTCTATTGTGGTGTATCTGCACAACTTCTTTGATGTGTGATCCCATACTTATTATAGAATTGCAATTCAAGACCCTCACATAACTCTTTTGCATTATCTGATCTTATTGTACACTTAATGCTTGAATTAAACTGATTTTGTATCATTACTACAAAATTCTCAAGTACAAGAACAACATTTGACTTAGCTTTCATAAGAAAAGTCCAAGTATAATGCCTAGAAAAATCATCAATAATTGTGAGGAAAAGATTACATCCATCATGTGTAAGAGCCTTACAAGGACCCCAAGTATCTACGTGCAGTAAATTAAAACACTTTGTAGACTTAGAACTACTGACAGTTTGCTTAGCCTTAGGACAAACTTGACAAATATCTAGAAACATTATTGAGCACATGATGAATTTTATTGAAAGGCAAATGACCTAATATGAGATGCTAAAGTTTAGCCTCTTCAGAATTATTAGGATGTACAACACCTGCTAGGCTGCTACAGATGCTTCATTCTTCTCCTGAACACCACTTCCTTCCCCAACAACATATAAACCAGAATCTAGTTTACCAGGAACCAGAGTATTATTTTGAGAATGATCCTGAATTAAGCAAGTATCATGAGTAAACTTGATTTCACAATCAACATCTTTACACAACTTGTGTGTACTGATAAAATTGAAAGTGAATTCTAAAACATGCAGCACATTCTTCAATTCAATACCATTATGAAATATGACATTCCCAATATTTTCAACTTTCACATGTTTTCCATTTGCAACAGTGATAGTATTTGGAGTTTAAGTGAACTTTTCATAAGAATGAAATACGTCAATATTGCAGCAAATAAGCAAATATGATATGTAGCTCCAGAATCAATAATCCACTTAGAGTTACAACAAGATAGTAAACAAGTACTTGCCATGTGAGCTAAACTGTAATTTGAATGCATAAGATTTTGTGCATTCACAGATTCAGCTGCAGCATTGCCTTGATTTTGCTGTTGAGCATTCACTACATCCATGATCCTGCTGTATTTTTCAGAAGAAATGTGAGTTGTTTTAATAGACAATGTATTTTTCAGAAGAAATGTATTTTTCAGACTATATATAAACAATAGCAACAATTTTCTTCCCTTTGCCTTTGTAACTATGAATGGCAACGGATCGGATTCGGGTCGGATGGAGCTTCACCCGTATCTATCTGCTCACTCCATCTGCTCCACTCGATCCACCCGTCACCCGCAAAATCCATCACCTGCATCCGATCCATCCATCATCCGTGGATGAAACGGATGGATCGGATGCTTCGCTAGTGATGATTATAATTTATAGGAATTTTTTTAAAAAAATCAGAATTTTAATAATAAAATTAAAGTAATCAGAAATCTAGTAATTAAGAAAAAAAAAATCATAAATTTCAATAGGACTTAGTAGATGATTAATGATTACTGATAAACTAGAAGAACATGTTAGAGGTCATTCAAAAATAATCAAAAAGAATAAATTTGAGGGAGGTGCGTGAGGACAGAGTGTTGCGCTGCCGCCGGTGAGAGTGGTTGCGGGAGTGTCGTAGCCCGCAGGTGAGGAGTGTCGGCTGTCGGTTTGACGGAGAGAGCATCTGAGCGAGACGTTGAGAGTACAGTTAAGGAGAGTAAGAGCGAGCAGTTGATAGTTAGAGGAAGAAGACTAAGAGGTGGCGTAAAAATTAGGGGGTATGGTTTTAGAAATTAGAAGGGGTTTTTAGTTAATTACAATGTTAATTTTTTTTTAAAATATATATATATATATATATATATATATATATATATATATATATATATATATATATATATATATATATATATATATATATATCGGGTGGATGACAGATCGGGTGATAGATGAGACGGAGCCCCACTCAAATCCGACCCGATCCGTCACCTGCTTCATCTGTCACCCGCCCTTCATCCATTTAACGCAAATTGTCGTCCATTTAATTATTTCAGGTTAGCGGATATCCATTTAATATCGTCATCCATATTTGTAAACTATGTTACCACTTGGATAACCATAGATCTTAAAACATCTGTCAACTGTATGACCAGACATTTTGTAGAAATCACAAAATAAAGAAGAAAATCTCCTGTTACCAGCACCTCTACCAAAACTAGAGCCACTAGCACTAGGTTGTGAAGGAGGCTGAGAATTCCCCTGTACCAAGTGTTAGATCCTTGTGGCCTGAAAGTAACATTTTGGTTTCCTTAAAACTGTTATGTTCTCCTGCTATCCACTGCAAAAGCCATATTGTTAACACCAATACTACTCTCTGCTAGCGAGCTAACTTGCCTATGCTTTTCTTCTTGGATCAAGAGCCTGTAAGGTAGAGATACATAGGCAATGGCTACATCATCAGAATGTTTGTTCTAACATTTGTATATTTGCCATCTAACTTCATCAATAGTTGAATAAGCCTCTCCTCCTGTTGCTGCTTTAAGAACTTCTGAGTTAAATTGCAGGTGCATCCATTACAAGAACATACAGAAACCATATTAATACTAGAGATTTGATCTTAGATGACCTTGATCTAAGTAAAAAAAAAACTCAGCTATGCTGCTAGAACCTTGTGACAAATCATGTAGACTTTGCTGTAAAGAGCACAATTGAGCTCCTGAAATTTGTGAATAACGATCCTCAAGATCTTTCCAAATGTCTCTTGCAGTACTGAAATACTGTACACTTTTAGCAATACTAGTATCAAGAGAATTCAAAATATAAGCAGTGATCATAGCATTACATCTATATATCCCAAGCTTGGCATTCAAGCAATTCAGTTTCTAAATGTCTAGTAAGTGTTCCATCAATGAAACCTAGCTTATTTTTCTGCCGCTCGTAATTGTAACAATCACCATTGAACTTCACAAAAACAAGAGGATTCGCAGGGTTCTCAGAAGGATGTAGGAAGTAAACGCTAGCAGGATTTGAATTGAGTGAAAGATTGTTTGATTGAGCCATTATTTGATGAATTTCAAATGAAAAATGAAGTAGAATCTACTGATATAACGATCAACGAAGAAATCTAGAAATCAATCAACAAATTGAATTCAAAAACAAATTGTTGAAACAAATATGAAGATAGAGAAGATTGCCTGAAAAATCATGCGAAAGAATCAACAAAAACTGCATCAAATCCTTGATCGAAGCTCTGATACCATGTTGATAATTGCCAGAAGCTCTGAAAATTAGGGAGAAAAGAATGTGTAGTTTGTATTGATTTCTTGAGAGAAAAGATATTATGATCATTACAAAAACATGAGTAGCTTATTACAATATTTATACTAGCTGCATAACAAACTAATACTAAGGTGTAATAACAAACTTAGAGTTTGTTACAAAGGAAGATTTTGGAAGAAGTTAGTTACAACTAACTTTGCTGAGTTGGCAGATTTCATCAAGGTGGATATTGTTGTGCATAATTAGAGACTTCAATAATTTACAGTTGTCTAACAAGTTAATTCAATTAGATAAGATTTTAATTGCATATTATATTATATGAAAGGACCAAGACATTACCCAAAACAATAACTGCATTAACCCGTGAACTTTTAAGGAAAGAACACATTCAACAAGTCATAGTACTAGAATCCAAAACAAACCCGCCAAGCTACCCAAAAACTAATTTCTAACTTCACCATACAGATCATCTAAGGCAATAACTTCTAAAGTTTTTTTTTGAAATATTCCTTTCTACTCTATATATTACAACATACGTCTAGTATTATCTATTTTCATACCTTTGCCAAATTTCAAAAAGTCACGTATATCTTTTGAAATGCATAAAAAGGGCAACTATATCTACCAAAGCAACTCTATACTTTTTTTTATTGGAAATGATTGGCCAACTTTTATGTTTTGCACGAAACGTCAATGCATGCTATAACTAACATTAACCTATAATACAATAAGATGCTAAAACTTTTTACATATAAATTTATGCAAATTAAAGTCAAGGTCGGCCAAACTTTGAATTCCATGCATTTTTCTATGCAAATTGTTGTTATATTTATATGTTAAAAAAATAAAAAGAACTTGATCTTTTTTGCGCAAACTCTTCTATAAGAAGAAGTTAGGCCCTTAGGAAACCTTAGCTTCATGAACATATTTTTTGTAGTATAAGACTCTAAACAAAACCAAATATGGAAGCATCAAAACCAAATTACTTGTTACCAATTATAAGCAAGATGTATTGCTCATCTTCACAAGTTGTGTTGGTGGTGAGGCAGCGGCCTCAAGCGGTGGGTGGTGGCGGGTTTGTGGTTACTGATTGTAGCCAAAAGGTTGTGTTTCAAGTAGATGGTTGTGGGATCCTTGGAAAAAAGGGAGAGTTGATTCTTCGCGATGGTGATAATATTCTTCTTATTCGCCAATTAAAGGTGCGTAATTTTATTCCAAGTACATACATTTATACACTAGTATATCTTGAATTATGGTACGTACGTTTTTGTAAAATCAACTTATGTTGTTTCTTCACCTCAAAGTTATGTGTTGTAGACTTGTAGACGTGGAAACTAGTTTGTTTAAATTATATTGATATGATTCGCATTTAGATGATGAAGAGTTGTTTGATTTGGTTTCAAGTTTTCAAATGCTTCATCATAATATATCATAAGTTTGTAGTCGAGTAAGTTCAGTTTTAGTCATTATTTAAATTTGATCATGTGATTTCAAGTACAAACTTTATTAGCCAACTATATGAAAGGATATTGTACTTTTTACAAGTTTTGAGAGATTGTAATTAAGATGAATATTTCTCCTAATAATTTAGTGTAGTTAATTCATTTGATCATAATGATATTATATGTTTTCTGATGATATAATAGGGTGGATTGGTTCAAGCATTGAACATATATAAGAAATGGAAAGGCTATTATGATTATGAAGGATTAGAAAAGTCGGTTTTCAGCATAAAGGAACCTAATAAAAATGCATGCTTCCCAACAAACAATCCAGTTAGAATTTCAATTGAGCCCAAGGTTAATGGGCAAGTTAAAGACTGGAACTTTGAAATCAAAGGCCATTTTCCTGATAAGAATTGCAGCATTGTGGACTCATTGGGAAATATCATAGCACAGGTACGTACTCAACGATCCCTTAAAATCGTTTTTTTATTTAAGGCTCTAGACATATCGAATCTGCTAACTTCATTCAATTTGTACTAGCGTGACAATTAAATCTGAACAAAAGGTATATACAAGCATTTTCTAATTTGATAATGATCATGTACTCCCTCGTGGTCGAATCGAATTTAAAATGCAAGTTCGATAGTTGATACATATTCTTATTCCCTTGGCCTCTATAACCAACATATACACCATATATAGTGGATAGTTTTAGGGATTAGCTTTATTCCATCACCACCATGAAATGTTGTTGAGTTGTTCACAGTCAAGACGTACATAATATAAATGCATTATTGTACATTCCACATTACCACATCAACCAAGCTAGGCTACTACATTAGATTACAAGTTGTTATATTTCAACATACTTAGGTCACTCTGTTTAGAAATAATTGATACATTGATGGTGTAATTTGAACTATTCACGTGAATGAGTGAGAATAGTTTAATTAAGCTTCACGATCAATAATTACTCTTATATTGTTAATTTGTTATACATACAATCCTCGCTCTCTCCAAAATTTAACATCAGTCTCATTTTTCCAAGTCTTTATATATAATTAAGTTAATGAAACTAGGTTTACATATAGATCCTCTATACTTCGTTGTAGTTGGACTCTCTTCAACGTAAGAATTTGTAAATTAGTATACAGTAGTTGTTTGAAATATATCTAGCATAATGTTTTAATGATAATATACTTCATAATTGACGTACTTCCTCCGTTCCTGAAAGTTCGACTCGCTTTGCAATTGTGCGGTATTCAATGAACATCTTTGACCATGAATAACTCCGGTTATATATAAGTGAAATTTGTAAAAAGTTGATAATTAGATTATTTATAATAAGGGGGAATCTAATATGATCTCACATGCTTATTTATTTATATTGTATAACTCATAAAATGTGGTTAAAGTTATTTTATTTTGATCATATGAATAGTTTGTGAGTCGAACTTTCAGAAATGGAGGTAGTATTTTTTTTCCAAGTAATTAATTATATTACTTAAATAATGGTATTAAATAGTATTATCAACAATTTTTTTATTTATCAAATTTTTAGTTTCATTTATGTAATTTTTATTCTTATTTTATAGTTTCTCAAAAAATATTTATTTTATCTTGATTAAAATTTTTAAAATTTATATTTACATTGTAGATATTATAAGACTAATTGTGGCTATTTTATAACGTGAAAAAATAAACCAATCATATTATATATCATTAAAATAATATGGTAGTCATTTTCAAATGACCGCCGTAAAATCATCCCCGATTTATAGTTGAAAATTTTACAGTAGTATCATGTTTGAAAACCAAAGAAGTATTCATATCATGATACTAATTTAATGTATCTGTATTCTGTAAGAATAATGATCAAAAGTAAAGAATCATAGCACAATGTCATCATATGCTGTCGACCAAACAAGCTATATATGCTAGCTAGGTCTGAATCATAAAGATGTTACTAATTGAAGTTTTATATATAGACCATAGAGTAGCTGCTAATGACATTATTATATGCTGATTTAGTATATTTATTTATTATGGATTGTTGTATAAATAAAATGGCAGGTTGGAGTTAAAGAAGAAATAGAAAGGGTGATGACAAGGAAAGATCTGTACCATGTGGTTGTGCAACCAGGGATTGATCAGGCCTTCGTATTTGGAATCATTGCAGTTCTTGATTACATTTACCATGAGTCTACTTGGTGCTAGCTTTTGCCTAGCTTTCATTAGCCAGAGCGGGGATGCCCATTATTACATTTATGTTACAACCTCCGTTCCATTAAGATTGTTTAGTATTGGATAATTCATTTTACTCCGTATTAGGAATTGGTTGAAGTTTGGCACATGGGGTTATTATTTGTTTATGTCAGGCTTTTAATGTGGGATGAAGGTGGTATATACTTTCTTTGTATATTTGTGTTGTTAATTATTTGTAATTAATAATATGCTTAGATATTTGATAATATAAAAAAAAAAAAAGTATTATGTATATTCAACAACGGAAACAAATTTTAAAAGAATGGCCCACGCTCTAACCAGCTGAGCTAATGGGCCATTTGCTTTATATTAGATGTACATAAACAATCTGAATAGTAGCTGTAAAAAGGCTGCCAAGAAAAGGATACGTCTTTTAATCTTTTATTCATTGATGTTGTTTTGATTTTGCTCACTTACTTGACTAGGAAAAGAAAATAATTGTAATTATGCATCTAATAAGGACGATGCCATGCTATTAAGCATTTGGAGTTTTAGCATTATTGTACTGCTATTGAGATTTGAGATGGATGGTGTTTTGTTGATTGAAAAGTGATAGGGTATGATGGTAGCAAAAGCAAATATAAATCAAGAAATGTTAGAATAAATGAATGCAAGATAAGTAATAAAAAGGACATAATATTTAACGTGAGAAAATCTTTAAATAGAAACATAAAACACACGAACATTAAGGATTTAAAAATCTGTTATATGAAAAGTATAGCAGAGACAAGATGAATATATATTAGTATATTACAATAATCAATATATAGACAATAAACTCACAAAGTAGTAGTTCAAAGAAGAATAGTGGTCAAGAAAATAGTTTATGTATAGGAGGAACACTAGGCCCTATTCTTTTGAGATTTTGGGCAGAAAAGGGCATAGCAGAGCAGAACAGGGCTTAAATGAATGTGTAGGAGGCAGCAAATCATATTGGTGGATCACTCCCAAATAAACCACTCCATCATTTGAGATCTTCAATTTAGCCAAAATCATATTTTCAGAAGAATCATGAATACTTCAATAGGCACATTGAATATTGATTAATAATCTAGATTTCTCAATTTTTTTAGTGTCATGCTCGTAAATAACCGTCAACATTTAAAGTTTAGGCTTATAAAATTTGGGCCACACTAAACCCAACATAATGAAAATTCAGACGCATGCATCTTCTCCGCTTGATGAGACATAAGTAAAAGACATATAATTCATAGCGTGGGTAATCAATCCTGTAATAGCTTGAACGGAATGAAATCGATTCCAAACATGTGGTGGATTGGACATTTGGACGGTGTAATCAAACTAATCATGTAAAAATCAAGGTCCTTGAAGTTGGAAGATCTTTATTTTGTTGTGACCGAGTAATATATACAGGACACTTAAGGTGTGGTTCAAATTTGGTGGCAGAAGATCAAGACTCTTTAGGTAAATATCAAATGATTATGTTCAACCCTTTTCAAAAGATGGAGGGACATGTTTCACTGTGACGCTAATAAGTTTTTGCATAATTTGAGGTCTCTTATTGTAGATTCATATCTTGGCGTCATAGTAATTACAAGTACTAATTAGGGTATGCCATGTTTCTTACGGTTTAAAGAGCTACTTTTCGAGTTTTCGTAGATGACAGTTCTAAGGTCAAGACTTGCCACTGACAAATCGCCTAAGAAACCATAAGACAAATCGGTGACCAGGAAGTGTGCCGGAGCTATGAGGATACTAATGATCAATGAAATGAGTTGGAGATCATATTGCCTAAATATATATACTATAGACATCAACTTCCTCAATCGAATTTAGAATTTTACATAATCCATAATCAATCACTTTACTTTCATTAGTATTAGAGGTGATCATGGCTCAGCCATTTTACAACGTCAGGGTTCAATCCGTTAAGAAGTGGGAAACCATATTCAGCAGGCCTAACATGTTCCGTGCCCAAAATCCTGCTTAAAGCCCGCAATATAGTCCGTGAATTTTACCCAAATTCGGCCAAAATTAGGACATCCTTAGTCTGTTTTTGTTTGAAGCACATAACTAGTTTAGGTATAACTTCTCACACCTGCTTAACAGTTGCAAGTTACACCATTAAAAAAATTAGAAATAAATCAATAAAAATTCCAATTGATCAAATTCACCCAAACCAATCGATATACAAATTCCAATAATTCCATCAAATTCACCAAAATATAAACAACCATAAATTACAAGTAAAATCAGAAAACAAAAAATAAAATTACAACATCACAAAATAGAAATTTCCAATCAAGAACAAGCACAAGCATCTTCAACAATCAAAGCTTCATACTCCTTAGCACGGAACAAGAAATACCCAACAGCAAGCCCCAAAGCAATAGCAATAAACACACCACCATTATACGACATCACAGCCAACATCAAAACATACCCAATTGCCGAGTTGACGCCAAACAGCACGGCCGTCGCAAATCGAGCCGATTTACTCAATCGAGTTCCAAGTCGAGGGTGGAGAAACGGCGTTGACGGCTGATCCGAAGGTGGTGGGACGATACCGATGGTTAAAACACATAATCGGCGATCTTCCATGTATTGGTAGAAGACGGAGAAGAGGAAGCAGAATAAGAGAGCGAGTGAGTAACTTAGCCATGAATCGGTTTTCCAGAAATCGAAGAGTAACACCATTTTTGTACCCCAGTAGAAAGTCATGTGCATCATCTTGAATTTTGGAGGGGAGAGATTGGAATTTGGGGGTGATTTGTTGTTTGTTGTTGGAGAATTTGGAAGATTTTCTGAGGGGTTTTCTTTGTTTTTTTTTTGTTCGGGAAATAGTGATCGTTCCAAAATTGTGATCTTTGTGAATTTTGTTGTTTTGAATGGGTTGGTCTATAAGCTATGTACGTAGTACAATATTCGGGGAGAAGAGTAGTACATTTTGATATGACGTACAACAGTACAAGAATAGAGGATGTTGTACTAGAACATTTATTACTTCAAGGAAAAATTTGTTTTTTTTTTTTTTTTTTTTTATAAATTTGATTATAATAATTCAACCTTTGTCCGGTGTTATTCTATTAATCCGACCTTTTGATTAACCCAGAATGCTCAAAGTTTTGGAGAGTGCTCTATTTTATTAGGCCAAGGTGACCTGCTACCTGTTTTTCAGGTTTTTTTTATTTATTTTTTTAATTATCATTTTCAATTTTCTTAACTTAAAAAAAAAAAAGGTCACTATGGTCAATTATTCTAAACCTTGGTGTCACTGAAGAGAGTCCAAAAAAAGTTCGTCTTTCATGAAGAATTTTTAAAACCACGAGGCCACCAAATAGAATATCCCAAAAAAAAAATTAGACAAATGAAAATGCGACACGTGGAAGGTAACTTATTGTTGTAGGTTAGATGACTTGCTTGGCCTAATAGAATAGAACACCCCCCTCCCCCCAAAGTTTGGATTATTGTGGAATAATCGAAAGGTCGGATTAATAGAATAAGACCCTACAAAGGTTGGATTATTAACATCAAATTTTCCTTTTTCCTGTTGACATGGAGGAACAATATCATTAATAATAATTAGCCATACGACATCTATGATGACTATTTTGCATTCTTGGCACAGTTCATACTCCATTGCTTCAAATTATTTTACATTCTCACACATTCAATATTCTACCGCTTCAAACTTGATGCAAGTAGTAATTTTCGATGTCTTTACATTTTTCTTAGTAGAGACTTTCTCAATTTACACTGATGTTCTGATTGTAGAGTTGATGATATGACATAACCCATGAATCTAAAACACCTTCCCAGATATTAAAACCCTAAAAATTAAAACTTTCACATATGGAGAGACCAAAGTAACCAAAAAAATTGAATCGTATCAAAGAAAATGTGATATAGTTATCTTTAGTTCAATTTAAATTAAGTTTACTCTGTAGATCAACTTATTTCAGAAATAATCGATTAGACTAAATCAGGTCAGGTCAGATCGGTTCTCATCTATTTAGTACAGAGTAGTGCTTATTTATCGTTGAATATTTTTATTATATTTTCGTAACTTAAAAATTATGAAAAATTCATATTTGAAAAGTACATATTAATATGAGTCTATTGATATTTCATTTGATATTTTTTTAATTTACAAATTAGTGTACAAAGTTTGATCAAATTAGAAAATTAGATCAGGTCAACCAGAGCAGATTTTGTGAACTACTAAACCTAGCTTAGGTATGGTCTTATGAAAAGTATTGCACCTCTCATCTTTGAGGTTTGAGTTCAATTTCTACTTAAGTTACTTTGAGGGTGGGGATCCATTATTCTTTTCCTTCGCAAACTCTACTTTCACTAATTTTTTCGATTTATGAATAAGAAAAAAATTGTCATATACGATCTTATTAGATTTATCACAATGTGTATTTGACTATGTAGGAATTTAAAAATAGGTACAATATAATCGCCAAGTTAAGCTTAGTTTAATGAAAAAGCAAACATCTTTCATTCTTAAAGGTTAAAGTTCAATTCCAATCAGGATTTATTTGGAGATAAATTTCCTTCCCTCCATATCCAATGTATCTAGCCCTCTAATACAAGTTATTGACATATAACTTTAAGGCTTTGTTTGGAAAAACTATAGGATGTTCACTAAAGCTAGCAATATCATGGAATTTTCAAGCTAACTGTCAAAGTAGCACCTTATTAGCAACAAATTTTGAAGTAGCTTTTAGTGTTTAATTCATATAATAGTGTTTGACACGTCGACAAAATAGATGTGGATGATAGGTTTTAGCTTTTGAATTAATGTTTCACAAAAACTACTGATCCAGTATATATTTCCTTTAAATTTGCATTATTCAAATATGTATACCATTTCAACAAGTTATTATCAATTATCATCACCAAACAACTATTTTGATAGAAACTTTAACAATTACTAGTTGATAGCTAATATCCACTCATTGTTTTCCGTTAATACAACACTTAATTTTGTCAAAGTAGTTGTTGAAGGCTTGAAGTTTTGTTCTGTTTTGTTTTGTTTTTTTTTTTTAAGCACCACCATAAAAGTCATGATAATAGATTTGATAACTATTGCGATATTTATTTTCTAAATTACATTATTTGGTATGGAATACATTCTCTTTTCTTTTTAATTGACATTTTTTGAATTTTGACACAATTCACAAACTCGAATAGCTTTTGTAATGCATATTAATAATAAAAACATAATTATGTAAGATTTTGTTATAGTTGGCTCAATGTATATTTTTAGGCAAAATTGGCCTCAATAGCACCAACTATAGCTTGGGTGCAGAAAATAGCTCAACCTTAATCAGGTGCACAAAACTACTAAGTTTGGTGCAGAAAATGTCATAAATAAGATCGAAAACTGTATTTTTTTTTATTTTAATATATATATTTTTAAAACCAATTTTCACCCTTTTTAATTTCCCTAACTCATTTAAGTTACTTTATGATACCTAGCACGTGCTCCCTAGTTACTTTTCTTTAACTTATTTTGTAATTCATGATGAATTGCAACAAATGGATTATGTTTGGCAAAATAAAGTTTTCTAGTGTCATAAATCGAAATCTCACGACACAAATTATACAAATTCATCCAAACAACACATCAATTTCAACGAATCACCATAACACCAAAGAATACCCTAATTTCATAAATTATGAAAAATAAAAAAATAAAAAATAACCAAATGCATGTATTTAACACAGAGGTAGAAATTGTGTTTCATAATTTATTAAACTACAAATTAAAGATTGTCTTGTGCCAATTGATTGTCTAGGATTTTAGGATTGGTCTTCATCTTCTTCCTCATTTACCTTGGTGTTATTCAAGGAGTAGTATTAATTTTTCCAATTGGGGGGTAATGGGTGAATTATAATATAGGGGACATGTTCTTAGCACAGTAAATTAATTATATAGGTGAGAGGAAATGTTTAGAAAGGGTGAAATTGGTTAAAAATATTAAAATTAAAAAAATAAAAAAACACTTTTTGATCTTATTTATGACATTTTATGTACCAAACTTAATAGTTTGTGATGTAGAGTGCACCTGATTAAGGTTGTACTATTCTCTGCACCTAACGTACAGTTGGTGCTATTGAGGCCAATTTTGCCATATTTTTAGTGAACTGCTAAACGTCGCTCCCAATTTACCAGGCGTCGCTCCCATTTTGAGATGAAATGATCATTTTGCCCTTTTCTTAATTTGGGCTATATAATGTCAACTTTTAAATTTTTTACTTTTTCACAAGTAAAAACTTAATTATTGATCTTGTCCATGTAGGAAGTATAGGCTATATCAAGGTTACAAATAAAAAGAGTGGAGATGAATAAAGTAGGGAGGATAAATTGCAAATGATTTTAAGATTTTGGGTATGTGATGTCGTGGAAAAACCGCTGCCTTGAAAACGAGATTCGGCCCGTATCCAAGGTACAAAACGTAATGGCCGACTCGTCCCTCAAGGTTAACATCACTCCCACACACACTCATCATGTACTTAAGGGTGAGGAATTAGAGTCACACAAGCTTTTGCTCAATAATCAAGAAGAAGAACACAACATCATGTAATGTGTCTCTTACCAACCATAAAAATGGCTTTATATAGATTACTTGTAATCCCAAAGATGTTACAAGTCTCACAACAATCAATTGATAATATCAATATATAGTAACCTCCAACATTAGTATACTAACACCTTCATAATGCACCATCAATTAGGGGGTTACAAAAGTTGTTTTAAACAACTCATAATAACAAAGATCGAATCTCAAGGGAATCTTCAACAACGCTTTTAAAGTCATTACTCCAAAATGGCTTTGAAAGGATACATATGAAGAAAAACCAACTTGAACAAAAGAAGAGAGGAAACACTTAACGTCGATATAATTGAATCAAACGCTTAGTGAAGTGAGGCAACAACTTACAAGTTCTAGGAGTGAACAAGTCTTGATGAACTCCCAAAACTCTTGATCTTAAGAGTGAACGACTAGAACGAGTCTTGAACTCTAAGATTTAAGTTGAGACCCCCTCAACACATGTTATGTCTCAAAATATTGTGTGAACTCCGCAATAATATTTAGTGCTTTTAATAAGGTCATGGGCCCAACCTTGGGTCTCATGAGTGCTCTAGAGTAAACGCCCAAGTTTCTCATAAAAGGCAGCCAAACCTTCACATTCACGTAGGTGATTTCATCAAGTCTATCACAAACACCACCCAGATCCCCTGGGATATGAAATCATTAAGAGCCTTTGCTCAACATCACACTATCAAAACGGTGAATTCATCAAGTCTGTCTCTATAGAACCACCCAAATATTGGGTTATGAATTCATATAGAGTTTAGTTAAAACTCAACCTTCTCATAACCAAAAATGGTAAATTACTCTAGTGCGTCTCAATTAGCGCTACATTTCATAAGATTATAAATATCTTTACTTAGGAAAACACAACCACGTATAAGAATTGTCAATATATATATTTTCTCATAATGGCACAATGTTCTAAATAATTTAGTCACTTTGCTCTAAGTTCCACAAATTTTAGATATATCATGCATGCATGCAATCCATTTTAATTAGTAAACTTCAATGTAGTTGTATATACCAGCCACATAAAACATTTATATGAGCATTATTGTCAATGGTCATATGACTGATAAATTCAAGGATTCAATCAACATACTTTTGTAAACATCATAATCAATATTTGTTCCATACAGTTCAAACAAACAAATTAAACTCAACTTAGTTTCTAACTCAATTTCTCCCCGACCTTTTAATTTGCACATACACAATATAATACACGGGTAATAGATGTAATGTTTTGATGTGATTAAATTCATTATATAATAATCTTCTAATGTGGGAAAAGTTAGACACCCCCACATTATGACAAAAGGCCTCAAATACATATAAATATTCTCTTAATAAGAAGCCGTACTTCATATTGAGAAGATAGGGTTCATAATTTTATCAGCCATCACAAAATTGCAATGATTATCAAATCAAAAAAG